CTCTTGTAAAATACTCTGGGGATTAGTGAACGTTTTTAATATAAAATCTAGATGTTACTGTGAGAATTCATTCATACACATATACATACATCTGGTTTTTGCTGTAGAACAGATTTTCTGCAATACTTGACAAAAATAGAGAAATGCTTTTATGCACAAATAAAGAATCCGGAGTCTGAAACAGAGTTGTAATTGCAGTAAGACTTCTATAAGATTGCAAAGAGGGATAGGAGGAGGAAGTGAGATAGTCAGTCACAGGCTCAGTCGGCCTGGGTGCACCCACTAAGTGAGTAACTCCATGACAGCAAAAGCTGTCACAGGAAGATGGTCAGCAGCTGTATTGAATTGTTCTGGGAGTATTAATTGCCTAATTGCAATTACTTCTTTACCTTTCCGCCTACAGTGGCATTATAGAGCACTTTGTTGGTGAATAAGCTGGTTGCCTAACTATTCTCAGAACTACTGTAATCCCAGAACAATGTGATGATCATGGATTTGTGGGAGGAGTATTGTTCTCTCCATCCTGGCCTTCACAGAGGTGTGGTGGGACAGGATCAGCTCAGCCAACAGAACAGGTCACTGCTGTGGAAGGGGGTAATCCTACATCTACCACCTCTCGCTCTGTTTCCTGCTGCTCCTCTTGTGCCAGCTCCGATGCCCCAGTGAGCTGGTCAGAAAGGTAACATAGCCAAAGAAACCCCAACAGACCCATATGAATGGCAGAAGGGGATCAGGAATATAAGGCAGGGAAAGACGGGAGGAGCTCAGTGTTGTCTTCGGCTTCTCCAAAAGGCATCCAAAGATGTGTTAATAACTCATGTGCACTACAAAGGGCAATTTCACTCCCACTTGTGTTACTTTTTGTTGTCAGTGGTGTTTGCCAGACCCCCTGTAAGCCAAACCAATTCACTGATACAGCAGAAGACCAGACTGAAGGGCTGGTTTTCAGCCAAGTTAGTGCATTGCATCAGCTCAAAAGAACAGTGGGGGAAATGCTGTGCGAGAGAAAGGAGCGTGGAACCAGTGAGATGGGAAAGGGAAGTAAGAAGACCTCTTTTTAACAGATTGACTCAGCTGTTTGGTATAACTTGACCTCAGATATGTGGTTTCACACTATCCCTAATGCAGGGAATTATAGACAGCCCCTTTCTTACCCCCTCAGGTATGAGTTCTTGTACATTTGCTTGTGCTTCACCTGCATAGCTGTGTGACTGCCTGTGGTTCTCAGCACCTCACTGCTCATCCAGGAACTATTTGTGCTTTTGATCAGCTCACCTTGGGTGAGATCATGGTGAGAGCTGATGGAGCAGTGGTGCGTGGCAGATGAGAAGGGCAGAAGCCCTCTTTAGCACTAATGTAAATACAAAGTGATGTAACCTTGATGTGAAACTACACACACACTCAGTAACCACTGTGGAGGCAGGCCTAGGCTGTAGGAATGAACTGTCTTTTGAATGGGGACTACAGGTGACACCAATCTGACTGAACATTGTACCTAAATTTCCTCTGAAATGCAAATATAAATGTTGCTTTATAAAACCAACCAGTAGTGTGACAATACTACTTTTCTAAAAAGAACCTGCATCTTCAGGCATTCTGAACTCTGAAGCAAAGCATCAGGGAACATCAAGAGTAGCACTGCTCGCTCAGGGTAGGTGAGCCAGAAGCCAAGGGCACCCCAAGGTGAGCCGAGCAGTGACTTCAATGGGGAGCAGCCCCACTGCGCCAGAGGCCAGTGAGCAGAACAGTTTGTTTACTGCAGCGGGGCCTGCTGATGGTCCAGGGATCATCAGGCAGGAACAGGCTGGGTCTGAACTGGTTCAGGAGCCCCAGACAGTCAGGCAGGCACAGCTGAGGTGCAGCTCAGGAAGGACTCTACCTAGGCTCATAGGAGGGTGAGGGTGGATGCCCCTGTTTAGGCTGTCACAGCAATTACCATCTATTTGTGCACTCAGTGCCTTGACATGAAGCTCTGTCTTCAAAATAGTATCTAACAAAGCCTTTACCAACCATCCAGAGTCCTGTCTTATATCCTGGAACTGTTTGTCAGCATATATCTGAGAAAATACAGCATATGACATTTCCAGATTTGCTCACATTCTGGCTGATGTGCAGGATTTATTTCAGGATATTAAGGGAGCAAACAGTTAGCAATCACCAGTGCTAAAAGAGCATCAGACAGAATTCCAGGCAATGAGTCTAAGGAAAGATTTGAATTTAATTTAAACCAACATATAGTATCTAAATCTTTCAGCCTAGCAAAAGAAAAATACCGGGTTGAGTCAGGAAGGGCAGCTGTCTAAATGAGGATGCATGACTTCATTAATTACAGTACTTGGGATGAAAGAAGTATTTTTTCCATCAAATCTTTATTTTACATGAACAAAAAAAAAAGGGATTGCTGAAATAATCTGGAAGTTTTGACAAACTACACTTGTAGCACTGTGGACAGCTAGTTTTTTGCATCTACTTTTTCTTCTTTTCTCCTCTCTGTCCTCCCTCCCATGCCCTCCAAGAAACTTTACAATTTTTAGGTGGTTCTGGTGGCACTGTCTTATTTTTAATCGTACATTTGAAAAACTCTGTGGGTAAAGAATCCCTGTACCATACTGCTCAAAATAAATAATCCGGCAGAGAAGAATAAATGCATTTTAACAACAACATTGCACTCCAGAACAGGAGTGATGAAGTACTGATCTATCCAGGAAAGCAGAAAGCAAAAGCATGCTAAGCTGGATCACCTGCGGTGCTTCTCCAAGGAAATCTTCCAAGACACATGCCAAATGGAGGATATGCACACAGAGCAATGCAGGCTGTAGTCCAGAACACAGTTACGGTGGCAGTAATGGATGAGTGGAAAATCCTGAAGGACAGGTGTGGACACTGGAAGGTCATTGGGTTGGTAAGGCACCTGGAGGATTCAAGAATTCTATGGGGTGTGGCTAGCTTGAGGAGAAAAGTCTCTCCTGGCACTTACATGCCTTGTTCCAGCTCTGAATCAGAAGATTAAGTTGTTTCCTTTGGGAATTTGAGAATGCTACAAAAGAAGGACAATTTTTACTATAGCTTCTCTTGGAAGATATCCCTTGGTAGACAGGAAACGCAGAGAAGCAAAGTCTATAGCCGGTATTCTGGAGGAGCCTGTTTGGATGGCTTTTCCAGCACTGATATGGATACTCAAGGATCTCTGCAGCAGTCCTTGTAGGAGCTGGAATGACTTAGGGAACAACCTAAATCTTTGTAGATATGACAACAGAAATCAATGCTTTTGTTTACTGCTATCTCCTGAGCAAGTGGCCTTCAAAAGCCTTTTCCTAAGAGGAGCCAGGAGAGGTGTAATGAAAACTGCAACTTTCCCAGGATGTGACGGGCCACTTGTGCAACAAAAGATGTCAAAACATAATAAGCCAGATTGACTTGCTTCAATTTCAGCAAGTCTTCAGACTGAAGCAAGGTTCCTGGTGTACAACACTAGAAAAGGGACACTGAATGAGCATGTATTTGAGCCAACTGTGCACTCTGTTGGTGCTTCTCACAGACTTTCAAGAAACTGAGTGGCATTTTACTCACATTGAACGTAAAACCAGCTTTGGCTCATGTTTTCTTCCACTTATGCCAGTCTTTTAATGCACAGTATTCTGGGAGAAGTGTAAAAGGAAAAAAAAAGAAAAAAAAAGAGGCGAAGGCAGAAAAAAAGAAAAAGAAGTAATTCAACAAGCACTGTAACAAAATACTGTTTCTAATTACTTTTCTCTTGAGGGTATGGCTCAGTGAAGATTCTGTCATGTCTAATAAAGTATTGATGTCATGGAGTCTTTCTCCTAGTGGGACTACCAGCGACGGTTTTTTTCCTTTTGTCTTCCTACTTTCATAAAATTCACAAGGAATTGCTGACTTTCCTTGATAGCAGTAGGGTGAAGGGGGAAGGCACATCAATCTTCTGACACATGCTTCAGGTTCATAACCACTGTATAATAATATAAATGCTTAAATGGTAGCATGCAGAACATGTTTGTACTATCTGTGATTGTTTCAGCAATTACAAAGTCCAGATTTGCTGCTGGAAGAGAACTTTACATTTCACCGGAGTATACAGAAATTATGTCCTCTTTAAAAACAAGTCCTGTTTTAAAACAGGAGAAAACACTTGACAGGAAATCATATGTACACACGGTCCTACTCCTGTACTCCTAGCCTGCTGAGTAACCTGTGGGAGATTAGTTCATCTTTCTGTGCTTTTATTTCCTGCCAATAATGATGCACAGCCCTACTATGCAGCTGTAGTAATGTCCTCCTGTGCCTGTGTGATAACTACAGTCCAATGTCTAAAATATTTATATTTCTGCTGAAAAAGAAGGATGTTCACTAACAAGGTGTTATTAAGAGAAGTATCACAGAATCACAGAATTGTTAGGGTTGGTTGGAAGGGACCTCCGGAGATCATCCAGTCCAACCCCCACCAAGGCAAGATCACCTGGAGCAGGTGACACAGGGATGTGTCCAGATGGGTTTTGAAAGTCTTCAGAGAGGGAAATTCCATGACCTCCCTGGGCAGCCTGTTCCAGTGCTCTGCCACCCTCAATGTAAAGAAGTTCTTCCTCATGTTGAGGTGAAACTTCTTGTGTTTTAGTTTATGGCCATCACTCCTTGTCCTGTCTCTGGGCACCACTGAAAAGAGTCTGGCACCATCCTCTTGACACCCGTTTTTGAGATATTTGTATGTATTGATGAGTTCCCCTTTCAGTCTTCTCTTCTCTAGGCTAAACAGGCCCAGATCACGCAGTCTCTCCTCATAACAGAGATGCTCCAGACCCCTCATCATCTCTGTGGCCTCCGCTGGACCCTGCCCACTAGCTCCTTGTCTTTCTTGTACTGATGTTCTAAGTCACCTTTGTGACGTGTTTGGCGACAGTGACACAATCTAAAGGGGAAGGAAGGGCAGAGGTTTCCCGCCGACAGCGCGCGGACCGGCTGATGCGGGTTTCCCTCGCTCCGTGCCGGGCGATGCTGCCGCACGCGAATCCCGCTGTCCTACACTTCCCGGCGCCCCGCGCGCAGGGCGGTGCCAGCGGAAGCGCGGCGCGGATCCTTCCGGCTGTGCGCGCGCGCGCCGAGCGGAGGCGCGCCCCGAGCCTGCACCGACGAGACAAGATGGCCGGGCTGCCCCGCAGGATCATCAAGGTACCGCCGCCCGCCCGCGCCGCCGCCGCGCTCCGCCCCGCCCCGCCGCGGGCTCCGGGCGCGCCGGACTGGGGTCCCGCGCGGCGGGCAGCGCCGCGCCGGGCCGGGCGCCGCTTCCGGTGTCCGGGAGTCGGGCCGCGCCGGGGCAGGGCCGCCTCCCCGGCCTTCCCCTGGCCCTGCCGGGCGAGGGGCGACCCGCCGCCGCCGCCTCCGCTCCCCCCGCCGCTCCTCTCGCTGCCGCGGGGGCTCCCGAGCGCTGTGTCACGCGCGGGCGGCGGGAACGGGCGGCCGCTCCTGGGCCCGCGCCCATCGCGAGCATTGCCCGCCCCGCCGCCCCGGCGCTGCCGACCGCGGGGCCCGGGGCTCGAAAGGCACCGGGAGCACCCGCCCACCCTCCTCTGCCTCTCTGCGGTTCCTCAGCGGCGGCCCCCGCCCAGTCCCGGTCGCCGGCACAGCTCCCGCGTTGCTCGGGCCAGGGCAGGGCGGCGGCGCCGCGCTCGGGTTCCTCCTGTGCGCTGAGGGACAAGCCGCAGCGAGTAGTTAAACCTGGGCTTAAGCTGTCTGTGAGTCGGGACATCCGCACCGCTGCACGCTGGGTCAGCCCCGTCAGTACGGCGTGCGCTCGCAGCTGTCGGCCCGTGCGGTGTTAACGTGCCGCACTGGGGGTTCAGTGTCGTGTTTCGGCTTTGATTTACCGAGCTTTGTAAGGGTTCTCAGCTTTGGGGCACTTCCAGCTGACCCTCCGAATTCAGTTTCAGCTTAAGACTGGAATGATTTGGAGTCACTCAGCGGGGATACAGGTAGCTGCATGGCAAGCTATCCAAAGGCAGCTCGGTCCTGTAGCTAGCGTGGCTGATCGTGCTGGGCTGCTGTCTCCTGCTCAATTTGCAGTGATGTGAATTGAAGCCCTCAAATGGGTGATCATTTTCTACAAAAGTTATTTAGTGATTCCAGTAAGGTTCGTTTGCCCTCGCAGGAAACGACAGCATCCTCATCATCTATTGAAATGAACGGATGTTCATTTATAGCACTGCAAAGCTCTCTTGGTTGAGCATGCAACGTTGGCAACCATTGTAAAACACATAAATGTAGAATATGTTAAATAGTGGATGAAAAACCTCCCTATATTGTCTCTTAAGAAGTCAAATTGTCATGTAGGTGATAGAGAAGATGAGGTAAAAGAAGTAGTGTTCGTCTGGTGTGAAACAGACTAAACCATGATTACTGCTCAGAATTGTAAGCACTAAAAGTAAAGAAGACAAATGTTACAGATTGAATTTGATGCTCATCCAGCTACTCGAGTGTACAGCATGCTAAGCTGAATGTATTTCAGGTGTGAGAAGGAGCACTGTAATTTGGTGGAACTGGTATTTATCACAGAGTTGCAGTAAGAGTTCAGTCATGAGGCTGGTGTCTGTATTAAATTTTTTTGATTGCTCTTGACAATTCCTCGGAATACAGAAGTCCACCAGTTTGTAAGCTGATGCATAAATTTCATTCTTGGCACTTTTGTGTCTTTCATGCTTTTCTAGAAAAAAACCTGGCACAATTTACACAACTCACTTCAAAGATGTGTGATGGTGTGGGAATGTTTCTTTTCCTCCTGGAGAGGAAAGTTGGAGGGCAAAAGAGAGACTTAGAAACTCCAGATTTTCTTTGGAGGATCCCCCTTAGACATTTTTTTGGGATTATTATCTATTACAGGGTGGTCTGTATCGTGGGTTGAGTATTTCCATGCATGCGTTATCAATTGTCTGCAGCCAGTCTAGAGCTCTTAAATCTTGGATTGGCTGTGTTAGATGACCAGCTCTACAGCTCCTTCACTGTGTGTGCACTGGGTTGCCAGAGGTGCATATGGTCCAGGACTTGAATCTGACTAGCTACTACAGCCTCAAAAATGTGCAAAGTCATATTTTGAAATATCACAGCTGCAGAGGTGCAGACACAGAAATACACCTGCTTGAGACATCAGGAGTCTTGAGTGAGAATTGTTTTGACCTTTCCTATGGTGTCAATTTTGACGTTAGTGTTAAATTTCCTATTCCTTTTACCTTAAAGGGACGGGGGGGGGATTGAACTCAGTCGCTAGTGAGAATTGGAAAGATTGGGAAAGGAAATGGAAGAGAGCAAAATAGGAAAGAGCTGTAGAAAGGTAAAATGGCTCCAATAAAGAAAATTAGATGTTTTTGTTATGCACAGTAATAAATTTTATGATAAATAAATGGCTTAGGTTACTGTTAGGAAAGACCGTCTCCCTTTGCTCCACATACACCCTTTGTGTTGTCATCCAAGGGAGACTGTGGATGGCTGATTGGGGATAGGAGAGCATATTTGGACTGTAGGGTCTAGCTGGCTGCTCCAAATGCAGTTGGCATTCCTTGTCTTGACCGACTGCTGGCAGATGGCCTGGCTCTCAGGTTGACTAGCAGCCCTATACTCCTCAGCCTGCGTCTTTGCTATGCGCAGGCTGTCATCTATCCCAGTAGGAGAGCAGTAGCTTTCCTTGTCTCTGCAAGAACTTTATTTGTATTTCCCATACTTTCATCAAATTCAGTGAAGAGGTGACACTATGGATGTTGCAAAGCAGTTGTTGCAGAAGATACAGAATTATTCCTGATCTGCTGTCCTCAGATGACTTAGAAACACAGACTTTAATAAAATGTGGGGGGGAATGACCTGTAAGCTCAAGAGATGACTTGCCTTAGAGTTATGACAGTGTTAGCACATCACGAATGGTGAGTAGAAAACGTTGATGTAGTTTTGGATCTCCAGAGATATAATCAGAATTGGAAAACCTATCTTGTGAATAGAGAAGAGGTATTTTTGTTTTCTTCAGTAGTTCAAAACCAGGGGTCTTATGAGAATCACCTTGCCAAAAAAAATCTATTAATATAAGATAAAAGCGGTATGGCACATTTACGTAGATATGTGGTTTTGATGCTGTAAACTTTTTTTCCCAGAGTGACCGTTTCCAGTATTTAAAGGTGAGCCTTTGCAACAGACAATAAATAAACTCCGTGCTTTTTACTTTCAAGCACTTATTACATCAATTCTTTCCCATGTTGCAAAGTCACGTACCTCCAGTTGAGTAAGGAATTGAATTGTGTCTGAGTTTTTTTCTTGGCTGACATTCAATCCACCTCGTTGCTGTGTCAAGTGCAGTCAGTATATCTGAATGGGATGGGCAATGCTGCCTCATATAATCTTTTATTTTTTTTCCCTGCTGTTTTCTTCGCTGCAGTGATCTCATAATTCATGATTTCATGTCCAGGTCTATGTATTGACTGTATAGCCAGTTGTTGGTAGCCTTTGTGTTACAATCACTGCAGCTGCTCCTATCATGAAGTAACCATCTGAAGGACTATCTGAGACTCCTTCAGATTTTTTTCTTGTTAATAAATTTATCAGTGTTAAATTACAGAGGCTTGGATTTCCTTCTCTGCATGGTAGTGTGGTGTTGTCTGAGCTACTTGTTCCTTGCTATTTACTGTGAGAAGCTATTTCCATATGGCTGCCAGTGAACTCCTGCTTGCAGTATTTTTTGAGACTCTGGGAACACTTGGACTGCTAGTTACAAAATGCTGCCTCAAAATGTAAAATTTCTGGGAAGTTTTATGGAGATGCTCTCAGTGTGTGTGGCAATAGGCACCTACAGCATTGTATATTAGAGCTCAATGTAGTCAGCTTTATAAGTTTGGGGTTTTTTAAAATATAAATCAGATATTTAGGCCGCAACTGAAACTTTCTAGAAGTTCTTAAAAAGTATTACTGGCAGCCAACTTGAAGTTTCTTACTTTGTCTTGAAAGCTGTGGGCTTCTGAGGCATATACTTCTGTCTCCACATGAAAATTTAAATCACCTCTGCTTTTTGATAACTGACATTTCCGACCACTTTTTTTTGTTTCCTCAATAAAAAAATTAAATAAAAAAGACTTGAGGTAAACTTAATACCTTTTTGTGGTATTTTCTATTTTTTTGGTTGGTGATTAGGCACAGAAAACATTACTTTTGGACAGTGCTGTTCCTTGACATTTGTCAGAGAAGCCTGGTCTTTGTAATGTCTTTTTGCATCTTGTATGCTGTTTGAATCTTGTGGACAACTTCAAATTTGATAGAAGAGTGAAAATTTTTGGAATTCTTGGAGGTGGTTTTGTACTGTTCTTCTTAAAACCACTTTCTCTCTGCCCCCCCCCCCCCAACAACAAATGCAGGAATGTGGGAAGATAATACATATGCTGTTTTGCAACTCTCATTGAGACTTCTTGCCAGGTGACTAGTATGGCATATGCTGGCTGTGATAGTGGAAGGGTATTTAGGCAGGTATTGGAATCCTGAAGCTTGGCAGGACAGATGCTTTGTGCAGATGTGGGAGGGAGGCTGAGAAGAAGGCTCAAGTCCAGAGGATAAGAAAACTTTCAAGTCAGGTCAAGGTACCAGTTTTAAAAAGAAAATGTGGAGTCTTAATAACAAATCCTAAAAAGGACACTGATAACTTTTTGCAGCCTTTTCCTTAAAGAAGCTTTTAGTAGACACTGTAGAATAAAAACTGAGGAAAAACCAAGTAAATAATCCAGCTAGAGGCAGTAATGTTGCTTGAACCCTCTTGTATAATACTTGAGCAACTTTGAGGCACAAACTTATAGTACACTAGGGTTTTTAAGTACTGATGCTAATGGATTTTTATTGCTTTGCATACAATTGTTTTATACTCTATTTGTCTGTTATGTTTAGAGGGCTTTCAGAGTATCATCAAAATTTGTTGTGTATAATAGTACAGAACAAAATCACATTTTCATAGTTACATGTGACTGGTGGATTAATAGTGAGAAGCAAGTGGCAAATTTTGCCATAGATGGTGTGGTGGGTTGACCCCGGCTGGACACCAAGTGCCCACCAAAGCTGTTCTGTTACAGCCCTGCTCAGCTGAGCAGGGGAGCGAAAATACAACCAAAGGCTACTGGGTCAAGAGAATCACAGGGAGGGATCACAGTCATGGGCAA